TATTTCCAGCAGGTGGTGCCACAGTGACGAGGACTCAAGCTGGTCATTTATTCTGTCACACACATTTCTTTCCTTTCACTCTACTTATTCAGGCTATATGTTGGAAGCCACAATGAGTGCATCTTCTTTTCTACCTTCATATATATGGAGAAGGTGACTGGTCTTCTCTGTTTTCTGCCATGGTGCTCTTCCTACTCACATCCATTCACACCTCTGCCATCAACTTGCCCACAGTGTTTCTAAGCAGATCTTCATACATGAGACAATAACCTGCTTCTCTAAACTCCGAGGTAACTGGCCATTTTGGTAGTTTACAGTACAGTTTGTATTTACAGAGAATAATAGTGATCTATAATAAGAGCCCTCTCCTCCTCTTTCACACCTCCAGCATCATCTCATTCATGCTGCTGAATGGACTCCACTGTAAATTGGGCACACTGTTATTTATGGTGTCCTGGGCATTTTAAAGTGAGCTCTCTAAGACAAATTCCAATAAACTGTGTTGGTATGGCAATAAGCATTTTAATCTTGAACTTTGCATCTTTTTCAGTGTGTCCATCCCGGAGATAATGGATGGTCTTCACTCTTAAGTACTTTTTCCCAAACTGTGAGTTCAACAACCTGCTTGGAAACATATGGTCCATTTCATAATTCTGTAGGCTAGTTAAATTTGGCCTACATTTAGAGATTAATACACAAATATACCAGCTAGTATTTTCATTTGAATCTTACTATATCTTACATAAATTAAAAAGGGGAAATGTACATTTGAAAAAATATATTTTACTTCATATGAAATTCACAGCTATAGCTGCCTTATGTTATATAAATTTAATGAACAATCATTTTAAACAAGAACACATCTTATGAATTAAAATGTAAGAATATAGATATTAACCTCATGGGTTTATTGCACATTTCCAGAGCTTACAAAAAAAAGTTAATTATTATGACAGCAAAAAAAATATAATGACCTTTAATTTTAAATGTGTTTAAGGTGAGTAACAGGCCGAAAATGAAGCAAAGCAAAGTAGCCCATCCAACCATCTGGTTTGGGTGGAATAACTGTAAAAACAGTAGAGAAGCCGTTCAGACTTATTTATTTAAATAGCCTAACAGTAATATAACAATACAGATGAAGTACCACTGAAATCTAAGCTAAGAAGTCACCTAAACTTTTTTCCTTCCTGTTTGTCCGATGACAACCACTTTTTCAAAAAATGTTTAGCTCTGTTCTTGACTTCATTATTGGGCATGAAACTTTATAATCTCCGTTTGTTCTGATATTTGTTTTTAGGTCACCATATATTTTACAGCATATCATAAAAGTGATAGTTGTATTATTGAATCTGCTGCTTTGCTTCAGAAGCTTAGATATGGTTTGTCTCATGGTACAAATAGCCAAGAAGTGTCACAATAATACTCACATCTTGATTGAGGAGGATGATTTGTCGTGTTACATCAGGTCTTTGATGCTATAGGTGCTGACCTTCCTACGCTCCCTGTACTAGCCTAATATTATCGCCCTGATTAATAACACACTGTCAAATTACCTTTCTAGTAGAAGTTCTGGACTGATTTTGCAATAAGACAACACCCATCTAACATTTGAACACCTGCATGCCTGTTTATGGTCGCGATCAAAGTCTTGTTTTATTGTTTCTACTCTCCCAAAGAGTTCATTGCAGCTCCTGTGCATCTTGGGAAGCCTTCACTGAGCTGTCTGCTGGGCTGCACAGGTGCTTCTATATGCGAGGTGATGAGTTGACAGTTAAAACCTCACAAGGCTGGAAAAGAGAACTGTCCAACACAATGTTCTCCCCCTAAAAAGCAAAAAGAGGTAGAGGAAGACAGAAATAAGAAACAATGACTCTCAAGCTGCTGTTGTTATTTGAGGGGTTTACCCTCCAGGTTCATTTTGATTCATTTTTGCAGATTTTCTATGTGTTTAGGTTCATAACTCATCTTTGTAACTTTTCATCAAGAAGCTATTTATTCCAGTAAATCACTGAAAATATAACTAATTTACAGTTTGTTTAAAGGTCTACACATTTAAATGAGACACTGTGTGAAAGCCGTTCAGAATGTCTCCAAATGATATATAAATATAATAGTAATCATCACCATCAAATAATAATCATATATAATATATAAATATAGTTATGTTAACTATAAATTCACTGATGACAGGCTCCAAATTACTGAACCTGGAGCTGCCACTTGTGAAGCATTTGAGACAGCCTTAGTCTGTTTCACCATGTTTCATCTTCAGTTTTTAATTATTTGGAATGGAGGCTTATTTAGCTGCTGAAAGGGACTGTAGTGTCACAGCAGCCCCTTAAATTTGCCAAATAAGGAGAAGTGCTGATGAGGTGAGAAGCAGAGAATGCCTAAAACAAACTGTAGAGGGCCTCCAGCAAAACAGCCAGGGGCTTCAGATATATTAAATTACCATGATTGGGACTTAAGGCATGGTTAAAGCCTGTTTGAGAGGCTGGGGAGCCTCAAAGCAGAGCTATTCATGTCAGGGGAGCTGGGTCAATAGGTTGGGGAAGTTCACAGGACCTGGTTCTATTCTTATGCAAACGCAGAGTACAAGACCTAAAGCTCATTGAGTTGGAAGATATAAATGACTGGACACAAACCTGGTCTACAGATTCCTACTCGTCATTCATGAGGTAGAGCGACGACGTCTGAGTTCACTCTGAATGTCTCACTTCCTACTTCAACAGTGAAATGTACAGGATGATGTTCCGGAGTGCCACATTTTGGCACTTTCACACAATAGCGCTGATGGACAATATGTATTAAATTCAGTCCTGTCTCATGGAAAATGTTGCCTATAGATTTTACATTGAAGCATTGCAATGAACAGAATGTAATGATCATTATTCGTTTATATTGATAATAACAGCACATAACAGTGTGCTTTGTTCCCCTGAAAATTTATTTCTCAGCTTTGGTGAGAAATGCGACCTCTGAAGACTTCTCCTACCACAATGACAACATTTATCTCTATCTGCCGACAAGTAGAAAATCTGAGCAGAATGAAAGAATGAATACACACTGAGTGCCGTGAGAGAGAACACCTGCAGCCAGCAGCTCCTGAGTTCCTCTGGTCAACTCTGTCTGATGCAGCTTCAAATGCATCACTCTTGTTAATTAATGAAAGAATGATTTTTTTTTCTTTTTTTTTTACATCACACAAATATGAAATGAGGAGGAGTGATTCATTGCTTGCGTTAAAGGCTGCTGAAATTCTAACAATAATGTGAGATACAGTCATACTGAAGTAGAAAAGATTAATCAGGATTTCATGCTCAAATGTGAGACAATCAAGAGAAAGGCAGAGGCGTTACATGGCCAAAGTATGTTCATGTCTTTATGTGATCATCGAACATAAACAAAACCATGGGCTTCAATATGCTGCTAAAACAGCCTCCACTCCTCTGGGAAGTCTTCCCTCAGTATTTTGGATACTGCATGCCGAGAGCGGAATCAGAGAGGTTGGACACTGATGCTTGGTGATGTGGCCTGGCTTGATCCAGTTCATCCTAAAGGTGTTGGAGGGGGTTGAGGTGTTCTTCCATACCAAACTTTGAACACCATGTCTTAATGGACTATGCTTTATGCACTGTGATATTAAAACAGGAAAGTTCCTTCTCCAAACTGTTAAAAGCCTAAAATATCAATGTACACTGCAGCATGCGTTTTTTAAAAATAATTGGACCTAATAGGCCGATCCATGAATAACAGACAAACAAGGTCAAACGTGGATGGACAATGGTGTCCATATAGGACATATTGAAGATTGTATAGATTTAAACATGTTTCTGATGCTTCATAATGTAATCAATAAATGTGTTGTAATGTTGCAATGAAGTCTGGTAGTGAACACGTGCACTTATGTGTTTGTGATTAACAAAAGAGAGAAGTCCTTAGCATGACCTTAGACTCCTCTAAAAGGCCCGAGGGACAAACTTATTACATTTTTTACACAGCTTGATTCTTTCTTTCTTTTTTCCCCATGAGAGACTGAAACAAGATGCTGTTGTCCTGGGCTATATAAATATATGACTTTATTTGACATTGATATCTGATATATGAATTTCATAAAATCACAAAAAATCTGATGGGTCAGGGACGCATCAGAGGAACACACACTTGTCTGGTGGCTTGTGTCGGGTCAGTGTGTGTCCTGGGAGAGTGAAAGGTCATGACGCTGCCTTTCCAGCAGCTGGTTGATGCACTCCGGACACAAGCTCTTCACACTGTGGGAGGCACTTTACTAATCTGCAAAACAGTGAGCCAGATTAGTGAATAGTGAAGCAACTGTTGGTTCATTATATGATCATTTGCGATCACATGGCATCTCTTTCATTGTTACATGACTTCAGAGACAGAAGTAAAAATAGCTGAATATTTTGTTGACAACAGGTGAATAGCTGGATTCAGTCTCCTGTCTTATTACAGTATTAAGTTAGGCCCTTATCATTTTGCTTTAATTGTTTAGCTACCTATAGGCTATTATTAGAATCCACTGTTACAGGACAAGCAATGACATAATATTAACAGTATACTCAAATTCCCAAGGTGTGAGTTTACATTCAACCATTACTGCTCTGTCATTTACTGTATTTGGTCAAGGCCTTCCAGACTTTTACTTTTTCATCTTATTTACCTGTTCACTGGTTCATTTTGTTTATTTCTCTGGGACATTGTAGAGAGAGATGACTGAATGTTGTGAATCTGTCCATCAAAAGAAAGCAAACTGTTTCCTTATTAGTATATTATTCCTGTGTTTGTGAATAAGTAGCATAGGTCTATATTTAAAAAGCCCTATAATCCAACATGTAACTATGTTATTGACTAGATGCGTACAAATGGCTGAAAAGGTGCAGCGCTGCATGTTTTCATGGCTGCCTCTGTCCAAGGTGCTGACAGTTACCAGCCTTTCTGAACCATTTCAATAATAGTTGAATAATAACATATTCATCACATGTCTCCAACATTTCTTTTATTGAGTAAAGAGCAAAACATTTCATTCAGCTCGCCTTCACAATCTCAAATAATAATATGAATAAATGAACCACGTGTAAATGAATTGAAACAGCAACCTCTCAACATTTTGTTCAGAATGCCTTACAAAGATTCAGTCAAAATCCATCCCCATTTTAACAAAGACAACATCTTTTTTTTTTCAAATAAATGAGAATTTTCTTTTTTTTGTATCAAAACTCAGCTTCAAAGCAGCGATTTTTAGTTAGTCCAAACAATGCTTCAGAGAACCATTTCTTTGCTGCAGCCTAACTGCACAGAGACAAACCCCCATGCAGTGGCCTGTGAATCCATGTGATTAACACGCTGACACAAGCTCTAAAGAACCTCTCCGGCGTGGTGGCATCATCAGCATCATCAGGGTCCTTTTCTAAAAATAGACAACATAAGAAATCTGAATCAGCTCTGTAATTCAACATTGACCCAGGACATTTCTTTGTGTGCAGGTACAGTCAGATAAAATGACGCCCAGAGCACCACTCTGAACGTTTACGCTTCTCTCTGACTGGTTGCATCATCTCGGCACATGTAACCCTTGTCTACTGAAGTTCAGTCGGGAGCTTGACGTGGAGATCAGGCTGAGCCCAGCCCTGCAGCCATGCCGCTGCCAGATTCACCAAATTATATGTAAAGAGGTTCCTGGACAATTTAATCCCGCTGGGAGACATGGTAAGACCCTTTCTTTGCCAATTTTCACCCTCTCTCTTATTCAAACCTCTTTCTTCCTGCAGCTCCACAATGCAGGATTGTGCTTTCTATTTTTTTTTTTTCATGTTCTCTGATATCTTTTCTCAGTATGGCTGCCACCCCAGCATGCAGTTTATGCAAATGATCAGCCTTTCATGCTCAAAGTTGAATGAGATCTCTCTCTCCCTCTCTCTCTCCCTCTCTCAAACACACACACACACACACACATACAGTGACTCAGTTTGAATTGTCTTCATGTGTATTTTTTAAATTTCAGTTTTTGTTTTGAAATGTTATATTCCTTTACTTAATTACAGTACAGGTGGTCATAAGGAAGTAAGGTGTAGCATGGGAAAACAAGACAGGGGAATGTGTGTGTGTGTGTGTGTGAGGGGTGACTGTGTAGATGTAGAGTGGTGTTAAGTGGTGGATGGATGCAAGGATGGACACAAAAGTTAGGAGTTTGTGTGTGTGTGTGTGTGTGTGTGTGTGTGTGTGTGTGTGTGCAAGGATGATGAATGTGAAATTCTTGCTGTTCCCAGAGTCTGCGTGGTGTTTGAAAAGCCTGGGGGGGAGGCGGCTGTAAGGGGTGTGTGTGTGCCTGTGCCCAGCTGTTGGGGGGAACCTGAGTCTCTCTCCCTCCCTGACAGGCTGTCCTTTTCACTAGCACATAGCCGGGCCGTCCAGCCTGCTGCCATAACAACACCACAGCCCCTCTATCATAGTAACACCATGCAGTCACCACACAGCACGGGGGGAAAGGGAGGGGGGGAGGGAGGAGGAGTTTGGGGGGGATGAATGACAGAAGTGAATGAAGAGTCGAGACATTTCTACCCCTGTGAACTTGAACTTGACTGACAGTTTGAACGACTGGCGGGGGAGAATGGAAATCAACTCTTCAGAGATTTTGTTCTGTGATTTAGTTGCCAAAATACTTTCATATGTTTATATATTAAAGATCTGCAGTGTAAATCATGAATTGTTTATATTGATTTATAGCTTGTTTGGGATCATTTAAATTAAGATTAGGTAATAATAATGTGGCTAAAAGGCTTGAAAGTGGACCCTGAGTTTTTTTCGTGTCAAATAAATAAAAATTAAAAGTCCCATTGCAATTACATTGTTATAAATTGTCCTGTTACAATGAAATAATAATAACAATAGGTAGAATAATTTATTTTTCTTATTATTTTATTATATTATAATTTCATGTAGTGCACAAAAAATATAATATTACTATTCTCTAATTATTAAGTCTCACAGTAGGTAAAGAGAGCTGATTCCAAACAAGATGTTTTGTGTTGAGATGAGGACTGTGAGGAGCTGCATTTCAATAGTTAAGTTGCTAATATTTTCAACATTCAGTGTGTATCTCCGTCTGTCCGCCTCAGGGTCGGTGTGACAAGCTTGTTTGCTCCAGCCTACAGCCAATGAATGGCGACTGGTCCACATCAGGGGTCTTAGCTGCTCAGACCCACTCGACCATGGGAAAAAAAGGAGCTGTAAAAGGTCCCCTGTCGCTGTTACAAAGCCAAGAACAAGCCATAGCAGGATAATCGTGTGTATCCTCAGATTAAGACAGGATCGCAGCTGCGGTATCCTTGTGGGAGGGAAAGGAGGCTGCAGGGAGGTAACACGTACAATGTCCTGCCCTCAGGAGAGCTCACAGTCCTTCCCATTCTGCACAGGTTCTTGTGCTGAAATATGAGGCTGTTTTGTCCTGTTTGGACCAGAAAAGCCAGGCCCGGGTCTTTCCTGTATACTATAAAATCGTGGCTTTGTTCTGGTGAGAGGAAGGTCTCACAACAGAAAACAAAACAGCTCATCCAAAGGATGAAAACTGGCAATGAAAGCATTTTACAGCTATCCATCACTGGTTTAATTCCACAGTCTGAGTCTGATGTGCGAGTTGTATTATATTTGAATTATCCGTCTCTGACTCATGGCAACAGAGACAGATCATCTAACCCTCCCCAAAACACACCAATTGAGCCCACTTTCTCTCTCAGACATTCAAACACACTGAAGACCTGCCAGTTCTAGTATTTCTATATTATAAAATCATGCGATTGTTAGAGATGTAATAAAGGAAACTAATAATATATAATCAGATTACCCTTAAGTGTACTTCAATAAAAGTATTCATTCACTGTATTTTAAGGTTATTTTAAGTCTTCTGTCTGTTCGTCTTGCCTACAGACAAACATTTTGATATATATCCCTTGGATTTTAGAGATTTTCAGAATGTGGTGTTTGTAATATTGAACTATTTATATTTTTTTAAACCTGCTTTCAAGTGACAGTGGGAAATGTTAAAGTTTATATGAACTTCCTCCTATGTCATGTTTCAATTTCATGCTTATTCATTATTGTCTCCTTATGCCCTTGTTGGATAGATACTTGTGTCTTTTGTTTTGATTTTCTTTCTGTGCTAAAGTGTGGTATGTGTGGGTTGTTTATGACCAAACCAAACTAAATGGTCGGTAAGCTACATCTTTGCAAAGGGGAGAACTGTTCCGATTTGGCAGAGAACTGTGCTCTATTGAGTTCCCTCTAGTGATATGAATCAAGTAGGACACACATTTGACACATTGGCCGAGACCTTTTTCATTAACATTAGTTCTGGTATGAGACCACACACTCGTACACACCCATACACTCGCTGTGAGAGAGTCACTCACAGACATAAAGAGGGAGGAAGACAAAGGGCCAACTTTTCCACGAGACACTCTTATGGCTGCAGTGCTAATGCAGGCATCTGCCACTGTCTGGTCTGGCGCAACGTTCCCACCTCATTGCCCTGGGTTTACTGAAGCGCCTTCTTCTCACATACACAATGTTGGGAAAAAGAAGTGGCGGACCTTTGTCAAGTGCTCCTTTCACAAAGCAGCCATTGTGGAGCGAAGCCAGGATCAGAATGATAATGTGGACTGTGGCTACTGTTTACCAACAGGGTCTTCTGCAGCTGCAGCACACACGACCTGCACTGTGTTTGTGCAACACTTGTACATTACATATGTACAGGTGCATATTCGGTGTAGGTCACTTTGTGTTTATCCATTACTGGCAAAAGGCCCTTTTCAGCAAAATCAAATCAAAGTCTTTCCTTGAAAAATAATTTTCAAGACTTTCTTCAGTTATGTAAGAAATAATTTACAGTGTACAGCAGTCTAATGCTGTCTCTATTATCATAATTTTTCTGGCTCTAAAAAAAATACATCATATAGCCTATATATAAATCTATATTTTCGGCATTAATTCAAATCTGCAAATCAAACTGAGCCATCCACACACACAGAAATGCAATGAATCTAAGAATAGATTACATTTTTAAACAAGCTTACAAGGGTGATTTACACACATGTGCTCTGTGTTGGTAGTCATACAGTATTTTTCTGTATGAGCTCATGTTATCATCCAGCTTCACACCTGCCCCTCCCCCCTGCTGCTTGTCTAATTACAGCCTGGTGTCTAATAAAGGAACAGTTCCCCTTTTATTTCCCAGGCTGTGGCGCTGACCATAAAACCAATACTGCTCTTTGTCATGAAAAGAAAACAACAACCTTAAAACACAGACTGTTACATAAAGCTCAATGGCATTATAAGTCAGAATATAAAACACTGTCGAGTTTATTTTGCTTTTAACTCACTAGACTTACGGTCACTATGTGCAATATTTGATCCTTTTAAATGATATAAGGGAAAAAAATTTTTTTTAAAAAGAAACAACAGTTCAAAGCAGAGACATTCTCTGAGGCCATGTTCTCTTAATATTTCTCTGAAAATGTTGGAGGTTTTAGCAGTCTGGAGCGCATTTACATTCTATAATTACAAATGTACATGTGGACCCACATGTGTACATTTTTAATTTCAGTATTTGGGTGTTCTCAGCATTTTAAACTCAATATATTTAAATATGACTACCTTTAAGCCAACATTAAGTGAATAAATAATTGAATTCCTGGTAATCTGGAGCTTTAAAATATCGAAACTATTCATTAATGTTTCAAAAGGAAAAATGAGCAGTTACCAAGTTATTACACAAGTTTTGGTGTCATGGTCAAAATGTTCAGGGAAGGTGAGGTGGGTGTCAGTGTGCATGGGGGGACTTTGACTAATGACTTCAGTATTTCTTTGAAACAGCGTTTTACAGCCCTGATTAAATGACATAGACATTTTCATGGGTTAAATGTAGGCTAACAATGTGTTTTTACTTACTTAATGTAGGCCTATATGCATAGCTTTTTAAGAGATATTATAACTTCAGGTTAGGTTTAATTCTAAGGATGAATCAGATAACTTACACAGTGCACCTTTATAGAAAAATATATTTAATGGCAATACAATTTGACCATTTTCCCAGTCCATAATCTAAATATTCATATAGACTTTCATATTGTGGAGGGACGAGCTGGGTGCTGCTGCGCCTTTAAATACTCTCTCTGCTCCCCTCGTTTCTATGCAATTATGTTAATATGCAGAGCTTGTCTGGTTCCTATTCATTATCGGCGGGAGTTGCGTGATTGTTTCCTTTATTTTCCATCTTTGTAAGACCACTTTTGGTTTTTGTGGCAGGCTTTATACCACAGCAATGGTCTGGTGGAGAGACCAACAGAGAGCACTGATGTCGGATAAAGACTTTCTGCAATAAGCGTCTGTGTTTGCAGCACAATGTCCTGTGTGAGGTTCATTCTCTCAGTTTCAGCACTGTGGATAAAAACCGTAAGTAGCCTGTTATCTCTGGGCTGTAAAAAAAAAAACAGTTTCATTCATGTTTGATGATATGTATTTTATTGTATTGTTGTACAACTGACACAATTAAGCCCACTAATGGATCTCAAATTCAACTTGTCCATATGTCCAGGTTCCTCCATCTCTTTTCAACATCACAATAAGAAACAGAGATGAAGCACTTACAAATATTTAAAGAAAGCAAGAAGGAGGTTTTAAATGTAGCTGTAAGAGGGAAGGTTACATTTATGTTTTTCTCTTCTATAAATCTGTATTAATCAGCCCTGGAGATGCTAATTTAAAAATATAGGCCTTCTCCTATCCATTCTGACTTCTTTACTTTACTTCATGTTTTGAGTAATAACAAAAATGTGCATCACTGTTTCCACCCCTCTGCTGCTCATCTAGGCGCTTTCATGGAGATTTTAGTGAACAATAAATTCAGATTTCTTTCCATTTTCATTGTTCATGGGACAAACTCATGAGACTGTATGCATTTATAAATAATAATTAATACATTAATTATGATGGGCTGATGAAGATTTTCCCAGAGCAGGAGATTTACATACTAAAGGCCTGTTGTTTTGGCCTTTAATTCTCTGACAAAATAGAAGAGGCAGTTCTCATGAAGAAGCTTGTCATATAGGGCCCTATTTAAGGCCTAAAAAGGCTTATTTATTTACTATCTTTTAAAATAATTATTATTATAATAATTTCTCTAAATGCAAGCTAACAATATTTTGAAATGTAGCGTTTCATTTGAAAGGAACAAATAAACACAGACAATTTACAAAACCATTAAAGTGTTCTTCATTTATTGACATGTATTTTTAGCTCCCGTTAGCTTTTATTGTCCATTAAAATTATTAATACAGACATCCTTATTTGCCATTTTTATATTGGGGTAGTGGTCACATTGGATCTGACAGGCGATTGCAGTTTTTAATCACCTTACAATGTCCAGAGTTAAGACAAGGACATGTGGCTAATTAGATATATGTGATGTATTTATGTACACATTTTTAATCATTTTATAACACAGGCAGGTAACAATACTTGAACTTGTAGAATCTGAATCAGGTTTTTAATTTTACATTTTATATATAAAAGAGCTGTCTAATATTGGCTTATCAAAGGTTAAGTGTACTAAAATGTGTTGATTCTGTTAACTTGACTTAACTAATTAGACTTGCAGGACTTTTTACCTGATTATTTCCCCTCCTGTGAAATTAGTGGGATCTCAGAGATGTCAGGTGTACAGGAATGTTCCAACAGCTTTAATGTAATCAAATGTCACAAGATTGCCTACCACTGAATCAGTGTTATTAATTCACTGTTCAATTACAGTAGCAGTTCTATGTACGCTGACTCATTGATTGACCTTTAAAAGGCTGCAGTAATGTGACCTCACTAATTAGCTACACCTTGATCACACCAGAGAGGAGACAAACTGATTATGGTCTGATAGACAGCTAACGATGGAACAATTATTGCGGCACTGCAATGTGCCAACACAACCATTTTAGAGGCGGCAGGGAGACTCCGTCAAGATGGCTTCCTTACAGACAACATGATGTTCTGGCAGTGAAGGAGGCTGAGCTCTAACCTGCACAGTCCGACATGTGTCTTCACCGTGGGAAGGCCTTTTCTTTCAGAGTGAAGATGTCACAGTGGCGGCCATTTGGATTTAGAAAAAAATGTTTTATTTTTTCTTTGCATTTCTAATGCCTGGTGTTTGTTGTCAGTATATAACTGCTGCATAATCTCTGTCTATACATCAAATAAATACTGAAATTGCATCAAAGAATTCTGTCATTCAAAATGAAGTTATGACTTTTGTTTAAAAACAATCATTTAAGAAGGACTGCACTAATAAAAATTATGCCTTATAACACCAAGAGGGATGTTTTGGTTGATGAGCCTTTTGAAACACAAGCAGAAACTTTTCTTTTCTTGCTTATAGCTTTGCAGTTTTGAACAGTTTTTGGAATTACTAAATAACTGCAAATCAGTTTCTTTTAACCTCCAGTTTGTTTTGCCACCAGAAATTTTATTTTATTGTAAATATGCAGTTCTGGGTTGAGGAAGTAATGTGAGGCTGTCTGTGTTAGATTCACTGTAGATTAAAATTTTTCCAGTATTTGCACTGTTAATTTATAAGTGACAATACAAACCTATATAATATGTCAACTAAACACTATATAAAACTCAATATGGAGCCACATGTATTGTATTCTTCCACTGACTTTACATCCTTTTCAGCACCATGTTTAAAGGCAGCATAATTACATCTGTTTTGATGATTTTAAAACATTTAGAATTTAATAGATTTTCCAAATTTTGGAAATTAAAAACATGATTTATATTTTAATTTTTAAATTAATTTAAGTAGATTCAAGTTATATTATCTAAAGTGTTTGAGTTTATCAAAGCAGTAGGAATACTGAGCAGGAATCAACATTGTTTGGTAAATTGGCATTTAATTGTTTTACTTTTGTTCAACAGAGTGTGAGAGGACAAGTAGATGTCAGGTAGATATCCAAAGTCTACGTCCAAAAGAAGCGTGGGACAGCAACATTCATGCGTTTGCACATTGAGAAACTCAGCAAGCTAAAAATGGGGAGATTTTCAAAGCATATCTAACTGTGCATTATTTCAGAAAATGAAATAAAAATACACAAATCTGTTTTTTGATCTTTCCTGTCTCATTGTGTCTAGGGGCTGCAACTGGTGATTATTTTCATAACCGATTAATCTAATTGGCTTATAAAATGTTAGAAAACAGTGAAAAATGCCCAACACAATTTCCTCAAACTTAAATATGATGTAATCAAATTGCTTAACATCACCTACAATATAGAAAAGCAAATTCTCACAACTGAGGAGCTGGAACTGGGAAAGGTTTTGAACAATTAATCAATTATAGAAATGGTTGCTGATTGTTTTTCTGTCTATTAACTAAATCAGCAAATTAACTAATTGTTGCAACTGTAATTGTGACAATAAAACCCCAATAGCCTTTATTTTTATGTTTGAATGAATAAAACAACTTAGTTTTTCATAACCTACCTGAAAAGATGTCTTGTCCTCTTGTGTCTGTGTTTTTCTTGTTTAATCTCATTAATGCAGGAAGCTGAGGGTTTGGAGATCATTCCTGCTTTCGGTTATCTAGCTTTATGATGGATGATTAACACTCATACAGCTAGATAACCAAAGATAGAAACAGGCTCCGTTGTTAGCTCTAACAGCAAAAGGTAAGTCTGAATCTTCCTGGGAACAAAGACAATTATCATAGAGTTAATGCATGCCTAATTACTGGAAGGGCTTCAAGTGCAAACTGGAAAACTCAACCTTGAAGGTTTTTGTCCACAGCCGGCTAAAACCAGCTGTTTAAAAGCTTTTCAATCAAGTAGAAAAAGATAATTCATATAAATATACCATTTAAATATTTTTTGTTTGTTTTGTATTATCTCTGTCACTCACAGACATACTTCAAGTCTACGTGGACTAATTGTAATTATTTCCAAATTTAAGGCAAATACAGAAGTAGTATACACTAGCATCCTGTGAAAAAGGTGAGGTAGGGTCACAAACTGTTTACAAGCATTTCCCATTGCACTTTACATCTCATCTTTGAAGTGAAACACATTCATTTTCAGGAATAACACATAGTTTAGACTATATGTGTCTGTTTTCAGTCTCTACACTGTCTTCCACACTTTTCAAACAGACAAACTCCCCCTGCTTTACTCTGAGAAAAAAAACTTCACTTAGCTCCAGGTGATACTTTTTCATCAAAGCACAATCTCTACACTTACGTTTTTGCTTAACAATTAAAACTTTGACTTCTTTACTACAAATCTTTGGGATGTAGACACTCTCAGGGGCCATTTAGTCCCAAGTGCTTATGCTATGCAGAAATGTTTTCATCAGTATCAGATTTTTACAACTGCATTAGTATTATTGATATCATTTTATTATGCTGCTGTCACTGACATAGTAAATTCTAAACCTTAAGCATCACTTTTCTACTGGTATGTATAATTTTTTGCCTCCAAATACATTTTGGTATACTTAAAAAAAAACAGCCAATGACTACTAAAAACGCGAAATCATTAGGTCACATCACCAGCCCTTCACTATATTTATGTTAAAATCTATACCTAAAATAACCTCATGATGAACTCACGCTTTTCTTTGTCAGTAGCCTACGTCTGACGTCAGTCGTTTTAATTGGGGAGTACATGCAAACCATGCGTCACTTTCTTTGTATATGTAGGAGATAACTCTCACACCTAACCTATTACTACAATTATCGTAGCCTTTTGTAAATTAACATATTCAAAAGACAACGGACTTGAAACTGTGTCTGCACCGTGTCTATGGTCAATTTTAGAGACAAAGACACATTAATAAAACCTCACACTGTAGGTGTGAAGTTGCCTTGATTGACTCAGTGTGTTGAGGGTTTATGAAGGGGCTCTGGGTAACTCAGAACAGGCCTGTGTAATATATCTCCACTGTCACAATAAACAGCTTTACGTTGTTTTTGTCAACTAGCCCACTATGACTTTATCTATAATGTGGCTTTGACGATGTACCCTATTTGAAACATTAGAATTGAATATAACACGGCTAAATGAATACAGACATTCTGTAACGCCCTGTTCCTAAAATATGTCTAACGTTAAGGGCAGTGCATCTTCAGCCTGACAATCAGATGCGTTCATTAAAACATGCCTGTAGATGATGTGAGAGCGGGTCTGATCCGTGGAAACTAATAATGACCACTGAATCCAAAGACTCACTTTCACAACGTGCAAGACGCCTCCCGCATCCATGGGGACTAAAACATCCACATGTGGCGACGAGGACGGTGGGCAGCATCATTCGGGCTCCAGATGTGCAGGACACATGGGTTTCTGTGCAGCCTCGGGTTAACAAACAGGTGAGCGCGTGGATCAGATCTATAAATCCCACAGCCGTCTGCCGAGGCTGGCTGTGGAAGAGATATCCATCCTCGGTTGTGTGTTTGTATCCGTGATAATGAGTTTTTTTTTCTTTCTTTTTTTTCTCTCAAGGTTCTTGCGTTGATTTCCGTCAGACCAGCAGAGGCGTGGGACGGCCTTTCATCCGCAGTGTTTAAGTGTGTGTCCGCTGCCGGAGCCTCCACTGATCTCCTCTCACCTCCTCTCTGTCTTTTTTCTCTGCCCCCCCCCCCGGATGCGCCGACGTCACAGCCACGGCAAGTTGCTGCCAACCAATCGGATATGGTCGCCCTGTGTATGTGCGTGTTTTGGGGGTGCAGTAGTGTGGCACACGAATTGTCGTCGGTTCAGAGTCAGTTGTGCAGGACGCTATAGCATTATGACCCATTTAATAAAACGGTTTGGGTTATTTCCATTTAAGGAAACCAGGCAACACTAGTTTGTTTTGCAAAAGTATTTTAAACAGTAAAATAGCCTACCGATTAAGTGATGTCTGACACCATGGAGCCTGTGTGCATATACTTGTCTTACCTGTAAAACAACAAACAGTTGATAGGTGGCTGTCCATTCCCAAATACTTAGAGCCACTATATAGAATATGAAAATGTCTGATTTTGGCGCCCCCCAGTGGTAGTATTGACAAAGACACTATGGCAGACCACAACGCACAATTAGATTCAGTGTCACAAGGCCAAACATGTAGATTGCATTTCTTACCTGCATTTACATGTGGTTTTCTCCTCATTCATTGTCTCATAAAGCCTACATTTTCCAGCTCATTAAGACACCATCTTTAGACTAGTGATCATTAATTTTGATTGAAGGTGTGCGAGTGTGTTCTCATGCCTGGCCTAGGTAGGGGACAAGATACAAACAGGACGGAAACACACTTGTTAAACTGAGATACAAGATAAGATAGAAAAGATAAGACTACAGGATATGCATCATAGGCCTTGAGAAACAATGAAGTTTCGGCTATACACTGTCCAACTCATTATCCAAGAATAAAGAAAAGCAATTCTTAGGTCATGAACCTCTTCCCACTGTTTTAGGGAAGCTTGTTCCCCAATGGCTGATTTTTAAATTCAGACTTTAAAGTAATGTATTCTGTGTCTACGGCTTTCCATTTTGGTGGGATTAAATGCATCTAAAATTGTTTAGTTTTAGTTTTCTACAAGGATGTGGCACAGTACGAAACAGACAAGAATCTCCAAAGAAACACTATAGCCCACCTTCTATGCTACATAGGAGTGGTCACAGTCCTGAAACAAATGAATTACTCTCAGATGAGATGGATCATGTCTGTCACAGAATCCCACACTGCTCTCCTTTTAAAATGATTTGGGCCTATCCATCCTCCAAGCTGCTCTTCCCCAGTGCCTCCCCACTACCAACACCCAGAACAACATCAGGCCTGTTTTGGAGCAAGAACAATGTGAAGAAGTGATAGTGGATTTTTTAAATAGTTTTTTTCATTTGTGTAATAATTTTTCTATAGAGCTAAATTCAGTGAATGTGTTGCTCTGGCCAAAATCAGGAATAACACTTGAACTTCCCCTTAATATGGGTTGTTTTTAAAGGGGAAATGATTTTACAAAGATTTCAGTCCAGAGACAAAGAACTGTGGCTTGACCCTCATGAAGATGAGTTCCGAAATACACAGACTCATGTATCACTGAGGATACACTGCCCTCTACTGCTCAGATGGTGTCCACACTCCCACCCCACACTTAAATTTTCTCTGTACTCCATTGCAGGGAGATCACTAGTCAAAGACATCTCCTAACTTGTCTTTAGTGATTTCTCTTCCACCTGTGGGTTATGTAACAAGACAGATATATTGAGCTCTTATAAAGAACCAGAATTATTTGTGATAAACAAAGTGTAATGTTGCCATGGAGTCAATGAGCTCCAACTTAAGCCCTGTGTTTTTCTTTGCGTATACTTGCTTACATTTGGCCAATTGACATTAAAAGTATGCAGAGTTAAAGTATGCAGAGTTAGCAATTAGCAGTTGCTTTTTGCAATGTTCCCATGGATGTACAGACATGGAATTACTTTGAAAAAATTTTAAAAAGTGAGGTTTCTCAATTAACTTCAGTAGGTTATGAGCATTTCCCTCTACGGCTTCTAAGGGAATTTAACAACCTTTATGTATGGGCATCGAAGATAATCATATCTCTGGAAGTGTAAGTCTTTTTGAATCTAAAAATAAATTATGACCTTACAGCCTGCACTAATGTTACTTTTCACCATCGATTAAAAATAGAATACAAAGGGCTATAATAACTTCCTCATCCCTGCATATAAGTTGTGGAAGAAATTTGCCTCATATAAATATTTTAAAAGCAAGGCACAATCTCGACTTCAATAAAAATGAAAACACAAGCCAGGTGAGTGTGGAAGGCAAAAAGGTTTTAATATAAAATATTGTAGAAAGTAAAAAGACTACATGATTAGAGAGCAAGATAATCTCATTTTGTAATGATGCAAATGATTCACCTCTTATTGACTTTCATGGCTGGTAAGACCATATACCTGACAATTGCTGTATGAAATGAAAACGAACTTTACGTCAGTGAAAGTGCCTCATATAAAAATCAATGGGTGTCCTTGTTTATTAAAAACTTTATATACAAGTATAAAAATTAAAATGCAAAAACTAAAGATGGATAATACAACAAAATATTTCAGAAACCACAGAACAAAAATCTATGCGAATGATCTTATGTAACACAATAGATTAATTTTCAGACAGGATTCTTCCGTACGTCAATGAATGCATGGTTTGAAGTCAGTGGTCCGATGTTGAGGCTGGAGCGGCGGGACTCTCTGCGAGACTTAACCACAGGTAGGGATGTCGGCCCGCTCCAGGACCCCATACCAGTTTGAACTACGCGGTTAACGGGAACGTCCCCAGCCGCTCGGAGCCATAACTCCTCCATGACAGCAGGTTCCTCTGTCGGGAGCGATGAGCGTCTCCAAGTGGACGGTAGAGGGGTGTTCACCAGCTCGCGCATTTCCTCCCTGGACTTGGGAGCTTTGTCAGGTGCTACCCTGCCTCCTGGGCTGTCCTCGGGGCCGCGGGTCAGCTTCTCCATACTGCCAATGCCTGCTGATTTGCCATCAGGTGCCACAACTAAAAGACAAACACATGCCAAAGGCACAGTCAGAGCTGTGGGAAACATTATTTTTTAACACCAACAGACTCAAATGCTTTACTCAGAGCTGAGGAACAAATGCTTTATGCTCCCTCAGCAGCAGGCAGTTAACTGAGCAAGAGACAGTATGGCACCAGAATGGAGAGGAGAATGGAGATATAGTAGTTGCTAAGAATATATGCAACAATGTGATAGACACAAATTATTAAAACAACTCCGCAAAGTGGATTTGCCTGAGGACATGTGGAAGGATATTTGCACTTATGTCATTTTATTTGGCAATAGGCAAAGTACGTCTTAATAACACAGATATCGGAAGCCATCTTGCTGCAAGCTGTAAACAACTTGATTATCATAATCATACATATGAAAAACAACAAACACTTTGATCTAATAATACATGTACCTTTAGCATGCTCCTTTGGCTGACTGCCTGAACCACAGAGCTCCCTCAGTTTGTTGCTTAGCTCTAGATTTGCTGCCTTGTAGTGGTTCAGCTCCTTGCTGAGGTTATGGATCCATCCCTCAAACTGCCGCTGCCTTCCTGCCAGGCCTTCGTCTATTTGCTCTGTGGGGGGCAGGAGGACACACACACAAGGTAAATACTATCAATTTCAATGTCAGATTATGGAAATATTCTAAATTACAAAATATAAAATGTAGCAGATATGCTAGCAATATATGGTTAACTTCATTTACCTCACTTTAATCCAATTTATATATATATATCCAATTTACCTATAAACCTAAAATATACCCAATGTAGACCAATGAGTGAGGAATTTATAAATTAATGTAAGTGGTGCGACATAAACACATGCAGACAACATTTCTATTGGTAAAAATTTCCATGTGATCCGCACCTCGACACTGCTGCAGTAAGAGCTGCATGCTCCTCTCGTGTTCCTTCTGCTGCTGCGTGAGCCGGCGATCTGTGTCGAGTTGTGTGCGATCGAGTGCGTTCTCCAGCCATTGCACCAGCTTCTGCTGCTCATCCAGTTGCATTTCCAGCTCAGCCAGGGCGAGTTGTAGCTTACGCTCCTCCTCACGCAGAGACACCACCTATAGAATATATCCACATCAAAACAAACACATGGGTGAGTTCAGACACAGAGTCACACAAAGAGACACTGATCTTTCTTATGAAAGAGTAAAAACTACAACTACACTAATAAATTCGTGCAACTAGCCAACTTGTCCAAAACAGTATATACAGTATGTGAGAACACGGTAAAATAAGCTGACTCTACGGTTGAGCGTTGCACAGACCTTATCGAAGTACTTGCACAGCAGAGCTCTGGTCTCAGAGGCAGACAGGTAACTGAGTTTGGCCATAAGGTTCATCTCCCACTGGGAGAGCATACTGGCAGAAGCCCTAAGCTGTCTTTGTCTCTGAGTGATGGCCTCGTTCTTGTACTCGATAGCTGCATCCAGAGCCTCGATCGCCTCGTCGAACTGGAAAAGCGTTCGCTCCTCCTACAAACATCAGCGGAAACAGGAATATGAACATTTAGCCACAAACAGGTAATATTAGACTTGTTACTGCTTGCCAAATGCTTTCTAGTCACAGTTCCTATTATTGCCATGTGAGTATTTAATGTGTGTCTGCAGCACAGCAATCTCTCTCTTACTTTAAAATAATTTGTTTTTCTGCCACACAATTAAAAATATGTGCGTCTGTGAAAAACATATTCTATCCATTGTGCAGAGGACACAAAGTCTTCTTTTTCTTTTGCTGCTTGAACCTCAGAGTAATGTCTGACCTCAGGTGAGAGCAAGTTGCCCTGCCGCAGCTTGTCGTCCAGCTCCACTCTTTGTTTAAGCAGCGAATCTTTCTCTTGACGCAGGTTAGAGATCTCTTGGCGGATCTGTTGCGAGTCTTGAGCACTGCTGCTGCGAAGAAGACCGTTCCTCTCGCTCAGCTCTCGCTCAAGCGACTCAATACGGCCTGTAAGCGTCACCAGGTCTTTACTCAGGGCCTGGAGGGAAGATGAAGAAAAAAAAAACATCAGCATTTACTGGTTT